TAGCCTATTAAACAAAATTCAAATAAACACAAATACAAAAGTCCAACAAAGGTTATTGTACTCAGTAAGTCTACTTGATAAATGAAAGGCTGTGATTTGATTTTGCTTTCCCTTTATTTATTTTTTTCTGTGATGTACAGAATATATTTTATTAGATGGCTGTGTAAAATAAAAATTATGAAGAAACTCTGAAACAATCGTCAAATTAAATTATAACTGTTGTGTCTATTCATGTTATAATCGCATCTTCTGCCATGTGAACTTGTTTTAGTCTTATTTTTTCTGGCTTATGTAATACTGTACTGTGAGGAAGAAACTGTGAATAAAATGTATGGTGAAATGATGAAGTAGACTTTGTTGTCCTGCTTCTTTGAGCAAATTTCAATAATGCCTGAGTGCATTTTAGTTTTAGTTTTAGTTTTAGTAGAGGTTTTACGGCGCTCGCAACTGCATAAGGTCATATGAGCGCCAAGGGGTGGATGTCAACAGAGAAGTCCTTACAGGGAATCAGACTTACTCTGCTCACCTCTCTAGCTTCAGCAGCACAAAGTCTGCTTCGACTATCAAGGCACCCCGGAAATGGCTGGTCACAAGAGTGTGGCAAACATACAAAAGAAGTAGAGGGAAATGACGATAGTAAGGATTAGGGAAGAAAAGGCAACAGTTCCCTGTTGTAGTTCAGGCACAGTTATGAGCATGACTTTGTTGGATCAGCCCATTTACAATTCTACTGTGCATTAGAACGAGAAATGCCCCCCCCCCCCCCCCCCTTTGGGAATGGCCTAAAGACACTTCAGTCAGTGGCACCGCCCCGGGTGTAGAGTGCTTTTTACAGGAAAAGCTTCGGTAAAGGAACGTAACACATGATGAAACGACGATCAAAGGATTAAACAGAATTTCTTCTGATGTGGCAAAAAAAAAAAGAGGACCGTGTAGGGTGTCCTGAAGGTTATGAAAGAAAACAGAAAGCTTACCCGAGCTTCAAATCGATAGGTTCGAATCGCCACAAGAGGCTTATTTTTTCGAAAACAAACTCTTAATTACATTACTGTGAGCGTGAAAGAGTTGGTCAGTTAGAAATACACATTCCAGATGCAGTAAAGTATATTGGGAACACATCTCGCATGCATCAATCTGTCAGTTTAAAAAGAAGAATTGTAGCAATTACGAATAAATACAGCCTCACCTAGATCTAGATCTAACTCTCAAATATTTCTCTGTCACATATTATCAAAAGCACTGATGATCCATAATAAATACGGATCACGATGCGAATTTCAGCGTGAATATGTAGGCATTTAGTGTGGCCAGAGGGCTCTCACCCACCCCTCCCACCATAATGTGTCGACGATGACATTCTATCAGGATCTGCCTGGTTGTAAAATTAAAATCCGTATCGCATCCGATACAAAAAAGCTTTTCATCTCCCTGTAGGAGATATCTATGCGTCAGGGAAGTTTGTCCAATGCGTGCTCTTCTCGCTCGAGACACCCGAAGATATCATGGACCTGATTTGGGCATTGTGGGGTATTATGTAACCTGTTCTCTCCGCTGTTCCTCCTACAGACTGGAGGTATAGCTTTTGGCCTTACATGTACAGTCAAACCTGCCCTGACGGCCACCTCTATAATACGGGGTGCCCACTACGGCTGAGATCGGCCGATCGGGCCGATTGCCCCCCTCGATCGCCTCAAAAACAAACGTGTTTGTTTTTAGTTTCAGGCGATCGAGTCGGGCGATCGGCCCGATCCAGCCGTAGCGGGCACCCCGTATAAGACGGCCAGCTCTATAAGACGGCCACCTGTACATTTCCCCCCTTGCGTTTTTTAAAATAAATTTAACTGTGTAAAACGGGCACCTGTCCAACGCGGCCGCAGCCACCATATTTTAACACACAACCCCTATCACACTAAACAATAACACCTGTCTTAGACGGCCACCTTAGTGACTCCATTACATTTTGTCATAAATTGTGCATTGTCCCCTGACGTTGTGGGCGAGCCGTCATAATTCAATCTCCTGTCGTTGTTGCTAGGTAGTCCTTCCAACCGATCATGTTGCGTAGGCCCCTCCCACTGTTGACCAATAGCTACCAATTTTCAGCTGCTGGTGAGGTAAGCGTGTGATCCCTCATCACCCATAAGCCCCGCCCAAAATTCATACACAAATCGTAAGTGAGATGAGTGGTCACTGTTTACCCAGTCTGTAACAAAGTAACAAAGGACGTCAACATGAACTTTTTGTGACAGAAGCGTCGCTCGTTCTCCGAGTGGTGGCGACCCATGTGTTCGTCTGATACATTTTATTGTCACCCTTGCAAAATCAGCAACAAAATAAAAATTACAAACAAAATACAAACCACCACCACCAACAACAACAATGACAAAAACAACAACAATACGGCTACTTTCGAATGGGACCTCAGATGGGAATGGTTCGTTTTCTTCATCGTTATCAGTCCTGCCTAAGACGGCTACTTGTCTTATACGGCCACTTTTCTCCTTGACAATGGGTGGCCGTCTTACACAGGTTTGACTGTACTTACAAAATATGTCTGCCAAAGGGTGTTATCTCCGTTGATCCCAACAAGAGGGACTTGGATTCCTTCGCCAGAACATTGACCTGATCGTTTCCTCAGATTCCCACATGGGTAGGTAGCCACGCAAACACTTTATGATATCCCCGGTCGGCCAAGGAATGAATCATTTACTGTGATCGTACTATTGGACCAAGTATTAAATTGGGGAGTGAAGAGAGGTAAGACAGAGAATCCGGCAAAATGAGAAAAGATAATAGGAGAATTGTTTAGAAAGTCCACCAAAGCCATATCATTGGCAGTAACCTCTATAGAAAAAATGGAGGCCTCGAGATGGAGCCTCCCTCCGTTATGGTGTGCTGTTTGTGGATGAGGCAGCGGCGCCTACAGCAGAGTCCGATGTAAAGACACAATATGTGAAGATTTTCCCTGCGTTTGGGGTATTATTTGGAGAGTTGGGTTGTTGTTGTTTCTTTGTTTGTTTGTTGTTGGTTTTGGGTTCTTTTATTTTCAATGTTTTTGTGTCTGAGCACGATTAAGGCCTATTATGCATGGCCAGGTCTAATTTCATTTTTGCCGTAGCGAAGTGCCACGGAAGGAGGTATAGTGGTAAAGAATCAATCGCTGTGTCGGATCTTTTTCTGGAAATGTCATAGTTTCGAAATTCCCAAGAAATCAGTCTCCAAAGGGTTTAATAATTTTATCGCTGTTTTTGTGCCTTTCTTTTTTATTTAATATCCGAACAAGTGTTAAAAACACAGTCGTGGGCTGGGTTTTCAGGTGTTGAACTCTGTTTGACTACGCAGTATTCTTTCCCGGTATAATAATGTCGAATCCGGTTGCAGTTGGGTACACGTAGTATTGTTATGCCCGATCGGCAGAAATGCTTGGAAGCCGTCTTTGGCGGAGACAACTTGACCAATCAATAACATGCCATGACCAATGGAGAAAAAAAAGACAATTCATCAGATCAATCTTCATGCCAACTCTCTGCTATCATCGCCGAACCAGGACCCCCTACAAAGTGCAGAAAACTAATAATGTAACAACGTGCGAAATTAAATATTTATAGAAAAATGTTTTAACATTACGAGAAGAGACAAACAAAGAAACAAAGACATTAGACAACAAATGGGCGTCGAATCGAGCACGAAATACTTAGAGTGACAACAAATAACTGGTTTGGAATATAGTGGAAACCTGATATAACAGGGATTTTGGGACCAGAGAAAAAGTCCTGTTATGGCAGATCCCTGTTAAATCAAAAATGCAAGGGAAGTAAGCATTTGAGGACTAATCCAGCTGTATTTATTCATGGATAGTTCCGCTTGTCACACGCACTCACGAGCAGGCACGCGTAAGTGTAGCAAGGCTTAGGGCTGGATCGAAGTCTGCAGCACACCGCAGCCCTCTCTCGCTTTTCCCTCTGCGTGTGCTTGCAGTGGCTTGGCTTGCGTGGCCTTGCTCCATCACGTACTGCGTTACTCTTTCTCTCTCTCTCTCTCTCTCTCTCTCTCTCTCTCTCTCTCTCTCTCTCTCTCTCTCTCTCTCTCTCTCTCTCTCTCTCTCTCTCTCTCTCTCTGTCTCTCTTGTTATTGCCCATAGCTTTAATAGGGACAAAGAATAGAAAAAAACGAGTTTTTCAAAAATCCCTGTCTTTAACTGATCCCTGTTATTATTACCGGGTCTGGTATATATGGTTTCCACTGTAGTTATACGAATTGTGCAAAAACACCGGACCTTCATAAAGGCTTACAACATGCGATTCGATGGGTCCCATTTAAGTTAGCTCCAAGGCAAAAGGGTGACCAAGGAAAAGGTGGATCGATTGAATCAAAGACCCTCCAAACTCACAATGTGACGATCCAAAAAGCAGCACACCTTGCCCACGTCCGACATTTATATATCCCTCCACGCCTTGCGGTATAAGATGACAGAAAAGGTTTTTTTTTAATTTAAAAATAATAATAACTAAAAAGTAATTATTATTATCATAGCTCACTCAACAGTGTAACATGGGGGACGGAAAACTGAGCAGGTTATACGCTGCTATGAGGAAAAGACGAAAAAAAAAAAAGAATATATAATATAATAATATATTATACAATGAAATGAAATAACACTCTTGATAATTTGGCTAACTGAAGAGGTCTATTATTTAAACCTATACAAGAGGCCTACTTATACAATTTCAAGTTGGTACCATGTCGAATACCTGCTCAACCTAAGAAATACTCGATACCGAAAATACCTGCACAATTTTCGAACAGGTTTTGAAAAATTCCTTTGAACTTGTTGACAATAGGATTAAAAACCTGTGCAATTTTCAGCTACCCTGTAACTTATCATCGCGAACCGCAGCGAAAACGACTTTCTACGAGCTGTAACTGTAAGATTAAACCAATGAGCAGCTCGTATTAGGTCACATGGACAGCAACCATCATAGTTTACAAAATGTCGGACATGCACTGATATGCCCTGGTACAATCAACACTCCAGTCATGCGCAAGGGACGGTTGAGCTTTTTTCTTTATTGTCCATGGTGGACTCAGTGACAGACGAGTTGATACAAGGTTGAACCGTCTAATGGAACGTGAATAAGCAGGTGTCTTAAGCTTACGGTTTTTCTTTTCTGATCTGCCGTGCTGATCTGCGGTCACCTTTTTCTTTATCTATATTAGTCTATTAGTGGTATTAGTTTGTTCAACTTAAACGTGCCCTAAGTTTATAACCGCTATCGTCTGGTTCAGACAAACTTAAGTCTGAAGAGTTAAAGACTTAATAATTAATATTACCTATATCAAGTGTGCCTTACAATTCTTTGTCAAGTAATGGAAACAACAACACACAGCAATCTCCTAACACACAAACTGACTAAAAAGGTTTAGGAACATTTTTTTAATTTTCTGAACTTAGTCTGCTGTGCTTTCGCTTTTTGGACCAACTTTTATTTTTCATCTTTGCCTCCTCTGCCTCAACCTCCTGCTTAGAGTGTGCGTTCCCAACTCAGTCTCTGGAGTCACTGTTAACAGTTTTTCATACTTTTCAGAAAACGGGGCTCTTTGGAAATTACCTTCCCGTTTGTTTACTTGAAACAAGTGATTGCAAGGACAAAAGTGGCCTTGTAGGCTAAGTGAACCCTACCACATTAGCCAGTAATATTTTTCTGCGTTTTTTTGTATTAAACATGTATTTTGGCTGGATTGAACTTTGTTGGACCCACTGTGTTTACATGTGTGGGCCTATTAATGCTCACTAGCCATAACAGTGGGGGTTTTCAGGGGGGCTAGTGGGGGGTTTGAGTGGGGCTTTCCCCCCTGTTAGTGGGGGTTTTCAGGGGGGGCTGCCCCTGACAAAAATAATAATTTAAAAAAACAAATCTTCACGTTTACTTTGCAAATTAGATCTTCTATCAGTTTCAAAATGGCTGCCAATGGAACGGGAAGGCAATTTACAAAGAGCGCAAAAACTACAGGTGATCCATCTTCGCACCTGAGGACAATACATGAATGGACTTTTTTAAAAATACTTTATGTATCAATATGAACAGCCTTGACTGCTGTCAGATTTTGCAGCCTATGAAAAATATTTTGCTTTGCTCTGCCTGTGAACAGGGACATACCTGGCAAAATGGAAGCCAGGATTGGAGGCCTGCTATTCACTTCCAAGTTTGACTCGGGGAATTTAGCACGAGTGGAAAAAGTCGCAAGAGAGGATGAGGATTCTGACAATGGAACAAGTAAGTATGACAGAAAAAGATTGGCTGAAATCTCTTTAAACTTGTTTCTATATATTATATACCCATTTTTGCCTTCTGCTCAGGGAGATTATTCCATCACAATTATTTGACAATGACAATCTTTATTCATCTCACCGGGAGAAATTTTTGTCTTGGTCATTAACAATGGCAGTAGATGTTTCTTTGGTAAGCTGCCTTCATCTTCATCCAGTTGCACTTCATTAACATGCACTTATTCATAGACCAATTTAAAAAGCATTTTCTCCGAGGAGATTCATTGCTTCAGAGCAGAGGTGAATTTCATTGTAAGAGACTTTAAAATTCATTAAAACAAAATCTTCCAAGATATGATGGGTTTTGTTGGGGTTTTTTGCAGATGGGAACAATTACTACTCCACTGTAGAACCAAGACCTGACAGTGAGTTTAACGTCTGGACAAATCCTGATTGTGCTGGAACGGAATTCGAGAACCCGAACAGGTAGGCTTAATGTAACTTTTCCTCCGTTTTTTGTCTTTAACGAGTTACACCCAGAGGGTCTGGACGGGAAGTCCATTCCTAGATCATAAGCTAGGGGAAGTAACCATCTCCCGTGAACACATTTAAAAAATACTAAACAAATACCAAAAGTCCTGAAAAAATAAAAGTTAAAAAGAAAAATGAATGTGGCTTCAGAAAAATATAAATTTATGTATGCACAAACTGTTGGAAATGTTCTAACTTTAGATCTATTTGGGTGTCTGACCCCTCTCTCTCACTCTCAGCCTCGCGGTCGGACCCTAGATTTAAATTCTACAATTCTACATCTGACCAATCTGAATCGTCCCAAACTTTTCTTACGTTTTCATCAAAATCTTATTCATCTGATTAGTCATATGTTTGTTTTTGCTCAAAGCCATCGTTATTTCCTTTTTCAAACTCAGTTGTGTAACTTTTCAACAAGTCGAGACACCTTCGAAGTGTCGGAAACGTGATCTCTAATATTGTGGGGGGTTTTACTCATGCACCCGTCTTATGTAGGCCAACACATTTTATATACTTTTTTTCTAGTAGTCTTTTGCATGCTGAACACGAAAATTACCTTCATTTTCCCTGCAAATCAATAGTTGTTGAGTTATTGATGTTTGAAAATGCACCCCCGCCGCATTTCACAATGATTTAATGTTTTGACAATTAGGATTGATATATTTGCTTCAAAACAATCGATTTGCAAGGGTTTTAGTGGCCATACGTGTGTTCTACAGCAAAAATTATGGCAGTTTAGCCCTCAAATCAATGCATCTGTGTTTGGGTGCATACGTAAAAATTTACCCTAATACTAAAACTACTGGCCCCAAAAATTTTGTTGCAGTATCAAACGGAAGAAGAAACATTTTGCAATAACTACGCAAATCAAAATCTCGGCCACAGAGTCTCGTCAAGGCGAGACTTCGTTTCTAAAGACGCTAGGTCGGCGTGGGCACTTCCGAGCGAGTCATGGTGGAGCACGTAAGGAAATTCGCGGGCGAGTTAGGGTGTAATCTGTTAAGTGAATTGTGTTGAGTATATTCTGTTAGTTTGATTTTCCTTATTTGTCTGAGGAAGAGGGAAAAAAAGTGATGGGGAGGGTGTTGCTTGATTAAGATCCCTTGCTATGATTATAATTTGTAACATTGAATATACAGTTTAAGGTGATGATAATAATATAGATCTTTTCTACAGTAGCCACTTTGTGGTGGTTCTAGTTGCTTCACAATATAATAAAATTTCAACTTTAACAGCTAACACAATAACATGTTTATGAATACCGGTCCTTTCAAATACATATACACCTGTGATATACCAAGGATGTTCTGACAAAAGAACATATGTGAGGCAGTGTGGTGAAATCAGGCGCTTGTCAAAATGATGTAATTAAGGAAACCTTATTTTTCTGGCTGTACGGCAAGTTTTTTTTTTAACTTTCTTTTTTTGGGGGGCTCAATACCTTCTATGCCCATTTAAAAACACATTTCTGCATGGATTTTACTGAAAAGCGTTGGTTAAAGGTGCAAAAAATGTCAGTTTGCTGTTCCCAAAGACTCTCAAGCTTTGGAAGCGACCAGACTTTGGCCGCCATTTTCTCACTAATTTTTCCTCTGAAACCAGGCTACCCCACCCCCTTTACTCGTAAATATCTCGAGCTCTTTTCAAGTTAGATGGGTATTTTTTTCCTCAATAGTTAGACAAAAAAAACCACTTTAAGATGATACCAATAACTCCAAATGTGTAAAAATTGACGAGCGCCTGATTCCAGCGCGTTGTGCCACATCAAAATGTCTATCGCAGTGGCTGGTGATCAATCTTGTACAGAAAAAGAGGAAAGAGAAATGACCTTCTTTCTTATTGTCACGACACAATGTCCTCTAGATCTGAATTAAATTTCTTTGTGAGTCAAGGTTCTGGTTAGTTGTTAAGATTCTTATCGGTCAAGGTTCTCCTACTTTTTTTTTCTCTTCCAATTCGTTATCCCCTTCTCAAGGTCATGGTTCTACTTTGGCATCCGTGGTTGGAGCAGCAACAAGTTGATCAAGATCAACATCCAGAACATGAACCGCCAGGGCAAGCTCTACAGCCAAGGACTGTCACCGTTTGTGCGAGTCCTGCCTGGCAAACCCAAATGGGAGAGGATCAGAGACAGGCCATCATATGAGGTGCATAGCTCATTTAGCATGTTTTGAATATTTTTTTAAAGTTTATTTAAGCTAAAGTAGCACTTAAAGGGATTTTTTTTTTCAGACGTGAATGATTTAGATATGTATATAGCTTAACAATCAATTCAAGTTGATTCGAAAATAATTTTTGTGTTTATTGTAGTCCATTATATTGGTAAATTATTTATTAAAACACTTGTCTTTTTTCTGTCTTCTGCATTTCCCTTTTTGGTCTAGATGTAGGCAATTGAAGGCTCTTCTTCAATCCATGCAGTTTCTTATTTTGCCCTTATAATATATACGTAATAACATACACCTTTTTCCTTTCAACAGACTGTGGATGGGCAATTCATCTTGTCCTTCACGTACCGTTTTCCTGACTTACGAGGAGGAACTGTGTACTTTGCTTTTTGCTTTCCGTGGTCCTACACGGAGAGTCAGGACAGGCTGGAGGCCTTGGACAAAAAGTTTTTTGCTTGTTCTTCCTATACATCAAAGACGTAAGTGTTTATTGAGCCCACACTGAAAATATCATCGTAATGTCTTTTATCTGCTGATCACCAAATCGCTTCTTCAGAATTACAAAGTTTATCTGACATTTTTGGCTGTTTTGAGTTACGGAGACCATTAGATCAGAAACAAAATGCTCTTTCTGCTCTATCAAAATTATAAGAATATTCGGAGTCATTATCAAGATATTCAAAGGATTGCGTTTTTTTAAAAAAAGCTTGTATATTGTGAAACAACAAAATTTTGACGTCAGATTTCTCAAAACTAGGTCTTGAGCAGATAGAACTTTGAAATTCTGAGGTAGCGAAATGTCAATGTTAATGCAATTCCTTGTATCACCTGTGAAGATTATGTGAATGTAGATATGTGCATTTTAAATATTTCTTTAAAGCCTTTATAAGTTGTAAGCTACAAGAATGAATCCTAAAAAAGATACCTTTGAGATATGTGCTGTGCTTTATTGAACAGCCCTATTTTTGTTCTCACTCCCCATCATCCTCATTGCCAGAAATCAGTGTTGAACACATTTCAAGAGCACGTTGCTGACTCCAAATTAAATTAGAAATAACATTGCATACTCAAAGAGAAAAGAGATCATCTTAGACAGTGTCTTTGTAGTATAGAAAAAAACGTGCCGGGGGAGGGGGGGGGGGGTTACTTTGTAGGTGTGATTGTCTCGGTCAGGTGGCCATTAGAGCAGGTTCAATCGTACTTTAAATTGCATGATTTTATCACACACATACACACAAACACACTCACACACACACACACACAAACACACACACACACACTCACACACACACACACACACACACACCCTCCCCATCTCAACCTACCACTATCCTATCATGAACACTATTTGTGCGTGGTTTTGTTGTGTCCAGTCACAGTGAGAACTTGTACTACCACCGAGAGCTTCTGTGTGAGACGCTTGACAAGCTGCGCGTTGACCTGATCACCATCTCCTCGTGCCACGGACTCACCGACCAGGAGGAGCCTCGCTTTGATAAGAATCTCTTCCCGGACACAAACAAATCGCGGTGCAAGCGATTCAAGGGGAAGCGGGTGAAGAAACGTTCTCGTGTATTCTTTTCTTAATTTACAAGCTTACATCAACTGCTCAGTATAAGACCCTTGTCACAGTGAACTTTTCAAAAACTTTTAAAATGGGTATTCCAATGTAAAGCGCCTTGAGCTACTTTTTTCAAAAAGCGCTAAATAAATGTTATATATTATTATTATTATTATCAAAATAGCGAATGGCAAACCCTACACTATGCAGTCGAAATGTTCTATGGTGTTGCTCTTCTAATCTGGAAATAAAATTTTTGAGATTTAAACAGTAAAATGTACTTGATTTGGTGATAAATCGCGGGACGAACAGAACAAAGATATATTCTGCCACGCTTTAGATTCATTGTTTCTCAAATATTGGGAAAGGCATGGTGACTTCTTGGGGAAGAGATTGAAGACTGCTTCTTGTCAACCATTTCAGGAATAAACGTGCTTTTATGTACAAAAATTTGAAATGTGAAAAAAATTATTTGACTTAAATGTGCTTCTGATTTGATTTCCAACTTAGCAAGTAGGAAAACCCTTTGCTTGTCAAGCCCTGAGTTTATTTGATCTGAAAGTACTGCTATTTGGATGTGGAATTTTCTGATGTTGGTGGGGGAAAGACTCAAAGAATATTAACCCTATCCGAACGTCATGTTTTACTATCATATCCATACAACGTGGGGAACTGTGTGCTACCACTTTCCAAAGAGGAAATTTACTCGTTATTCCAATCCATACGCTTTGCATAGTAGTCTGTTAAAATGATTTTTTGAGAAATACTGAAAGTTTCAAATAGATCGTCGTACAAGAAGTATTCTAAAATGTGAAGAATACAACCCCGGGGGTACTAAATAACCCCAGGGCGTGCGGCTAGGGTTAATAGTCTTCTTCTCCAGTAGAATAAGAGAAAACTATACATCAATGCCCTTCTCTTGAGTTTCTTTTATTGCGGCAAGCTTTTATGAATTTCAGTAGTGATACAGCAATATATCCTTGTATAAGAAATACAACGTGTTGACATGTAAAATAGAAAGTCAAATGGTGTTATGGAATCCTATCCCTCTTCTGGTAGATGACTCTCATCACTTCTCAGTTTCTCTTGCACAGGCATCTGTAGTGTAGCAGTTACGCATTTTTCTGGTGCACTCAGAAAAATGAATTCAAGTCGTGTTTGTTTGTTTTTTTAATCAAGTACCTCTGTCTGTCTGTTGGGACGTTTTGTCACTCTCTGCTCAGAGTAGCCCTGACAAGCAGAGATGAAGCAGTCGGCCTCCTAAGTGATCTAAATTGTGTCAGTGAGGGTGTAGAGCTGCTACTTTTACTATTTCTATCATTCTTTCCATGGTCTGTTCTCTCCTTTTTTCCTCTCAATCCTCAGACAGACACACTTAAAGCTGCATGGTTTTTATTTATGATTCATTATTTTTTTTTTCCCATTTGGTTATGGGTTGGTTAGATTCATTACACTTGACTTTGATAAAAGTCCCCTCCCCCCCCCCTCCCTGTTTCAGGTGTTTGTTCTGAGCAGTCGCGTGCATCCTGGTGAGACTCCAGCCAGTTTTGTCTTCAATGGTTTCCTGGACTTCCTGCTGCGTGAAGACGACCCACGGGCCCGCCAGCTCCGTCGTCAGTTTGTGTTCAAGCTCATCCCGATGCTCAACCCAGACGGGGTCCAGAGAGGTCACTACCGCACCGACCCGCGCGGGGTGAACTTGAACCGAGTGTACCTGGATCCCAATCCGATGACCCACCCGTCGATCTACGCGGCGAAGAGCATGCTGGTTTTCCATCACATTCAGGAAAGGGATCAGCTGGAGGCCGGGGTCAACAACGTGCGGATTACTTTTCCCGGCGGCACAGTGGTTCCCGCACCCAGTGAGCTGCACCAAGTCATAACCACCCCTGAGATTGCCGCGCCAACGGGCGAAGACGAGGACAGCGGCACACAGCGGACGTACACTCTGGCAGCTCCGTCGGTGCTCGGACATCACGACGACCAACGCAGCAGTGACCTTGACACTCCCGTGGGCTCCCAAGACCTGGTCGGCCTCAGTCTACGCCAGCAGCAGCTGGTGAGCGCCAAGGGCGGCACCGCGGAAATTGTCTTCTCGGAGCACGCTGGCAACATGTCTTCCACCTGGGGTAACCCGCCCCACCCTCCCAATCACCACCTTCCTCCGCTGTCAGCGAGAAAATCTCACGAAGAGGGAGACAAACAGCTTTCGCCGACAGCCCGGCTCGAGGACCAGCAATCTCAGCGTCATCACCCTCATCCTCACTCTCACCGCAGCCCTCGCCCACATCGACCAGAAGAAACCGCCATTACCAACAATAATAATCAGACCCTTGCTCCTCTCTCAGAGAGCAAACCAACAAAATCTCCCAGGGAAATCCCAGTCGAGAAGGATCTAGATAAGCCACAAACTCAGCATAATCACCCTGAACACTCCCATCACCATCACCATCATCACCATCATCATCATCACCGCCATCATCACCACCAGGCAGAGTCTCAGAACAAGCATCACCACCACCAGCATCACCATCATTCCCAGAACCATCTTGAAGTTACCCAAGAAGTTCAAGAGGCCACAAAGCCGCCGTCCCCTCGTATATTGTCCGTGAGTCCTGCTCCAAGTCCCTGGCTGGGCAACATGTCGTACCCCACCCCACCAGGAGCCAACCACCCCGTCCATCACAAGCCAGCTTCTGTAGAGCCTCTTGACCTTGCCGACCTTGACGAGGGTGACCACGTTACCACGACAACAAATGCCGCACAGCATGGCTCATCAACAGGGAGTAGCTTAGTAAGTACCTCTGCCAGTGCTCACTTCTCCTACATTTGTCAAAATCTCTTTATTTTGTCACAAAGTTATCAATGTTTGCAGACCAGCCAAGTACTCCGATGACATCAGTGCTCTCTGATTATTTTTTTTAACATGCTCATGTGCTCTATAATACCTGTTTTGTTGTCTTTCCTTACACTATCACTGGATGACTCTTTGCTATCCTACTACTATTTACTTCATACTTCACGAATTTAAAAGTTACATAAATTTTTGCATCCCAACAAATTCAGTCATATGTTGTACCTATAATTTTGTCTTTCGTTTTACTATCGCTCTTTTGTCTTCTTCTTCTTTCCATTACCCTGCAAGATCTCAGGACCCACTCCCCCCTCAGGGCAGTGCTACTGACTGAAGTATCTTAAGCCATTCCCAAAGGGAGGAGGGGGGGGATTTTAACATGTTCTTATGCACAGTGGAATTGTAAATGGGCTGATTCATCAATGTCATGCTCATACTGTGCCGGAACAACATAGGGGGAACTACTGCTTCTTCTTTCCTCTTCCTGTTGTCATTTTTCCTCTACTTCTTTTGTATGTTTGTCACTCTCTTGTTAACTGCTATTTCCGGGGTGCCTTGAGAGTCGAAGCAGACTTAATGCTGTTGAGGGTAGAGAGGTGAGCAGAGTAAGCCTGATTACTGGTTTAGACACCTCTGTTGACATCCACCCCTTGACCTTATGGAGTTGCGAGCGCCGTAAAACCTGACTTAAAACTAAGATCTCACGGGTAGTGAACTGCTAGTTCTTCAACCAGCAAAGCAACTGGTTTTTAGGAATATGGCCTTTTTTCCCACTACCATCACTGGATGACAACTTGCTAGCAAATTCTGTCTGTCCCCGTCGTTTTATGCAAGAAAAATTCTGAAATTATGCAAACTGAGCCCAAAATGTGAAATTATGCGATTTTGTTAATTTTAACAAAGAATGATACAGGAAAATAATCAGAAATTATGTTAAAAAATTGTCAAATTTTGCTAAATTATGCAGGGTGCATAAAACCACTGGGACAGTTCTGTTAACTTCATACTCCCACGAATTTAAAAGAAAAGCAAATTCTAACAGGACAAGAAATTCTTTGTCCCAACAGATCAGCCTGTTTGAGCGCGGTGCTCAGAGCGACGCGAGAGGCCAGTGTGACCCCAGACAGGTGGACTCGGACCTCAGACTCAAGCTGTCCTCCCTGAACATGTCCGAGGAACTCAATAAGAACAGGTATTGCGGATGGATCTGTATTCTTATATGTACTAGAGATATATATATATATATATATATATGTATTGATGAGTCCTTGGGATTTATGGGAATAGTCACGAACTGAAAACCGTGAGGGTATCAATTTTGAATGTTTGTTGACCCGTAGCTGTATTTCTGTTCAATTGTTGGTTGATTATTGTTGTATGACTTCTTGCAATCCACACATTGAGATATTGGCGAAAAACCGACTCTTTGGTCAAATTGGTATATATTCTATGGATGCCATTTTTTAAAAGTATAACATGCCTTTTATTACTTCATACTTATAAATTGTAAAAACATCACCTGTAAGCGTGATGTATCTATTTCCATAGAGCTTGAATCCGAGAATTAACTCATTTTGTCAGCGCCCTTCTCAATTTGTTAAACACACACCACATCAGTCCACTGCTGCATCACTGGTAAATAAGATACACAATAAACAAATGTGATGCATCGTAGTGAAATCAGGCGCTCGTCAAAATAATGAACATGAAGAAACTGGCATTTTCCCGCAGGTTTGGGAATTTTTTTTTTAATTTTTTTTTTTTGGCTCAACACCTTCTATGTCCATTAAAGAACCCATTTCTATATGGATTTTATTTAAAAACATTGGTTAAAGGCCCAAAAAATGTAAATTATCAGTTTAAATGGACTCTCAAACTAAGGAAATAACAATTTTGGTGGCCATTTTCTTGCAAATTTTACCTTTTTAAACCAGGTGACCCCTATCTCCTTCAATTATCAATACCTCGACTTGTATGCAAGATAAATGGATTTTTTTTTTTTAATCCAAAGCAAGACAAATGAACAAGGCTTTAAGATGATACCTATAACTCCACAAGCACAAAGACTGACGAGCGCCTGATTCCACCATGTCGTGACACAAATGCCTTTGATGGCGTACCGAGACTCCATCATACGCCACTTTTCAAAATGGTGTGTGGCAGGGTCTTACACTCAGCAGTTGATTGTTGTCAGCTGATATGGTGACTAATTGAGTAATCGACTACACATCCTAGAGAGGATGTGTAGATTTATCGCTCTTGCCTATATTGTGCGTATTGTTTATTACAAATCTTTTGCTTCAATAAATTTTATTTGTCTTTGGTAATTGATATTGACATCAGCATGACTTAGATGTATGTATAAATAAATTTTCTGACTTTACTTTGACTCTTGTTTGACTCATTGTGGTATGGTTGTAAACTGTTCTGTATTTGTGTAATATGGTGTATTTATGTATGTATTTATGCATGTATTTATGTATGTTCAGATTTATAATTATGTATTTATGTATGCATATGTATGTTTGCCATTGTAAACCAAAGTGCCCTTCTGGGACAAATGAAAGTGTAATGTTATTATTGTCATTATTATTATTTTTATTTCTCTCCAGTGCTCTAAGTTTTGGACTGGACTCGGACAACGACGATGACACCTTCACGGACAGACTGGGCAACGAAGGTTCAGAGGACGAGGGCGACGCGGGGGGCAACGAGGGTGGGGATGGGACGAACGCTCCGCACCTGTGCGACCCAGCGCTGCTGCAGATTCCACCCCACGCCAGTGGCATTGCCGTCTACGTAGACCTCCATGGGCACGCCTCGAAGCGAGGATGTTTCATTTATGGGAATTTCTTTGAGCACGAGGATGTCCAAGTAAGTTTATGTTGCAGATCTCACATTGATTGTTCTACTGTGTTGTCTTGTTGTTGTTGTTGTTCTTCTTCTTCTTCTTTTTCTTATTGTTGTTGTTGTTCTTCTTCTTCTTCTTCTTTTTCTTATTGTTGTTGTTCTTCTTCTTCTTCTTCTTCTTCTTTTTCTTATTGTTGTTGTTCTTCTTCTTCTTCTTCTTCTTCTTTTTCTTATTGTTGTTGTTCTTCTTCTTCTTCTTCTTCTTCTTCTTTTTCTTATTGTTGTTGTTGTTCTTCTTCTTCTTCTTCTTTTTCTTATTGTTGTTGTTGTTCTTCTTCTTCTTCTTCTTTTTCTTATTGTTGTTGTTCTTCTTCTT